TGGCCTGGAAGTGCTCCCTGTCCTTCTGGCGCCAGGCGTCGGTGGCGATGTAGGTGTGGTAGGGGTCGCGGGGCCCCTGGAGGCGCCGCGCCCGCAGGTTGCTCACCATCACCCCCAGCGTGAAGAAGCCAAAGAGCCCCAGCATCAGCAGCACGTAGATGATGGCCAGGCTGTCGCTGGCACTGCCCTCCTGAGCAGCAGCTGAGCTGTTGGACCGCTCCAGGCACTCCTGGAGCAGTTTGGAGAGGAGCAGGGTCAGGGCCGTGGTGTTGGACAGCAGCAGCATTTGGATTTTCTGTCCTTGGCACTTCTTCCTTCCTTGGGCTAGAAAAGGATGCAAATCAAGGCATGCCATCAGATAAATGTCAGATTAAGCTCTTTTCTGACCCATAGATGGGGTAACTTTTATAGGCATGTTCTTCTCTCTCTCAGGATTTTTCATAGAGGTGCGCAGAGAGAAGAAAGAGAAAACAATTTCTGTTTCTGCTCCTTGTTTTCTCATGTGGAATGTGTGTGGAGAATTGTTTCCCTGGTGTGTTGCTTGGTTGGATTCTGGTGAGGATTGTTTGAGCCTGGTGGCCAATCCAACCCACCTGGGGCTGGGCTCAGAGAGGGGCACGAGTTGGGAGTGAGTCAGATATGGGAGTTAGGAAAAGTAGGTTTGTAGTTTTAGTATCTCCTTTAAATAGTATATTAATGTGTTATAGCATAGTTATAATAAAGAAATCATTCAGCCTTCTGAACTGAGTCAGACATCAGCATTTCTTCCTACCAAGTTCACCTGCATTTACAATAGTAACTGAGAGGTGTTTTTAAAAACTTTTATTCTATTTTCAGTCTCATGTGAAGGGTGAGACAACACAGATGTTGTAATTCACACCATTACAATGTGTAATTTCTTAATTACTATACACTCTGAGTATTTCTTGGCCTACCAGCTTTATCCACACCATGCTGTCAATGCCTTAAAGCTGATTTTCTAAAATTACCCCTCGCGGGTCCCACTGCAATGCATCTTTCATAGTTCTGTTTCTCCAAAGGATCCAGCCTTATTTGCAAGGCCATCCTTTGAAACTTGTATTTCTCAGCAATGTCTGTCCTATTCCATGGCATTTCTAAGTCAGCATTTCTGATCTCAAGGTTTGCACACAGGTGCTTCTGTCAGGCTTGGAGAATTCCCTACAAATCCATTTCCCACTTTCCCCCCTCTCTCTTGAGTGGAAAAACTTCTTTGATGAATCCACAGGTAAAGATGGGATTTCCTCTGTCTCCCTTTCCTGGTTCCCCTCCTCAGTGAAGGTTTTACCTGAGAGAGCCTGGGGGTGATGCCTGAAGTTTTGGCTTTCATATTTTTCACATTTTGTGCTGCTTTAGTGTGTGGGTCTGGGCTTCACATGATGGGATGCTGAGCTCTGTGCACAGAGCAGAGACAAAACAATTCCTGCTCCAGCTGGGCACCAAGGACAAATGATCCAAACCTCAGGCCAGGAGCACAAACAGCGTGGGCTGGAGAGAGAAAAACAAGCAGGGTGGGACTGATGGGCTGGAGCTGGAATGGGACAATGAACTCCAAGGTGCCAATGGAGCAGAACTGATCCCAGGGAGAGCCCCGGGAGCGCTCGTGCATTTTGGGACCATTTTGGGTCATTTGGGTGCAGCCCTGGCTGGGCTCTGGTGCTGCCCAAGGTGCATCCATGAGGAGATCCTTGGATAAATCCCTGCTTTATTCTGTGACTCTGTCCAGCTTTGCTCCAGCTCAGCCTTCCCAAGGCATCAGTTCAATGTGGAGAGCCTCTCCCATCTCCCACTGCAGCCCAGCCAGGGCTGAGTCCATCCCCAGCAGCACCTTAAAGCCCCCTTGGGCTTCCCAGCTGCTCTGTGGGTGTGTGGAGCTGGCTCAGATCTCAGCCCCAGCTCCCTCTGCTCTTTACAGGTCAGGACTCCCTCCCTGAGCCCCCAGGCAGGAGCAGTGTCCCAGCTCTGGTCTCTGCCCTGGGACAGGGACAGCACCAGGGAGCAGCTGGGGCTGTGCAGGAGGGATTTAGGGTGGATTTTAGGGAAAGGCTCTTCCCCAGAGGTGCTGGCACTGCCCAGGGAATGGGCACGGCCCCGAGGCTGCCAGAGCTGCAGGAGCAGGAGATGGGGACAGCCAGAAGCTCCTGCAAGGCTGAAGCCTCCCAGGCACAGCCTCTGCTCTGCCGGGCTCACACAAGAGGCTGAAGGGTCCTTTTCCCTTTCCAATCCACCTGTAAATCACTTAATGAGAGGAATCCTGCCAGCTCTGCATTCCCAAATCCTCAGCAGCCAGGCAACGTCAAACCATAAAATAATTTGAGGGTTGGAAGGGACCTCAAAGCTCATCTTGTCCCATCCCTGCCATGGGCAGGGATATCTCCCACTGTCCCAGGCTGCTCCAGCCCCAGTGTCCAACCTGGCCTTGGGCACTGCCAGGGATCCAGGGGAATCTGGGAATTCCATCCCAGCCCTGCCCACCCTGCCAGGGAACAATTCCCAATTCCCATTTTCCCTTCCGGCCTTGCCTTTTGGCGTTTTGAGGCCTTTCCTTTTGTGTTTTCCTTCCTTCCCTGGAAATTGTCTCTCTGCAGCTTTCCTGGTGCTCCTCCAGGCCCTGCCAGGCCACCCTGAGCTCAGCCCAAAGCTTCTCCTGTGCAGGTGAACAATCCCAGCTGTGCCAGCCTTTCCTGCCAGCAGAGCTGCTCCATCCCTCTGCTCATCCTGGAGCCTCCTCTGGGCTCTCTGCAGCAGCTCCAGCTCCTCCTGGGCTGGTGAACAATCCCTTTCCTCATCCATGACTGACAGCCCCAGCACAGCCCCTGGAAAAGGAAGACACCCATGTCCCACCTCAATGGGGCATTGTCATCCAAGGTGACCTTGGGTGGCTCTCAGGGTTTCCCAGAGCTTTAAATCCACGGCAGCAGCTGCCCAGCAAATCCTTCTCCAGAACACTCAGCCATTGTTGTTGGGGCGTTTGAAAGAGGAAGTACACCAGAAACAGGTTCTAATCCATCCAGGCTGAAAAGGAGCCCGGGGCAGGAGTGGCACCTGGGCAGGGGCTGGTGGCAGCTCAGAGATGTTTTCCAGGAGCTCGGCTGAGCACAGCCTCCAGCTGCTGGGAATGACCCTGCAGGAACAGCAGGTACCTGGAGGCTTCCTTGGGTTTGTTTGTGCCTCGTTGTGGAATAAAAGCTGCACAAGGAGCTGCTGAAACAGAGGGATAGGGCCAGGACTCTGCTCCTGTCCCCAGCGTCCCTCAGGAGGAGAACATTTCCCTGGAGTATTCACAGCAGGCACGGAGAGGGTCACACACAGCACTTAATTGTTAATTAACAACTCCTTGTGAGCTCTTTATCTGAGCACTCCTGGGTTGGAGGCTGGAACACTGAGAAGTTAATCATGGGCTGGGAAATTCTTGTGGAATCTGGAATGGTTTGGGTTGGAGGGACCCCAAATCCCACCCAGTGGGACCTCACAGGGAGCTCAGAGCCCACCCAGTGCCACCCCTGCCATGGCAGGGACACCTCCTACTGTCCCAGGCTGCTCCAGCCCCAGTGTCCAACCTGGCCTTGGGCACTGCCAGGGATCCAGGGGAATCTGGGAATTCCATCCCAGCCCCTTCTCACCTTCCCAGGGAAGAATTCCCAATTCCCAATCTCCCACCCAGCCCTGCCCTGGGGCAGTGGGAGCCATTCCCTGTGTGCTGTCCCTCCATCCCTGGAAATTGTCTCTCTGCAGGTTTTTGTAGCTCCATCCAAGGCCAGTCTGGCACAGTGGGAGGTGTCCCTGCCATGGCAGGGGTGGCTCTGGGTGGGCTCTGAGGACTGTCCAGTCCCAAACCAGCCTGGGATTCTGTGATTTTATGCCCAGTCCCTGATCTCCTCAGGGACACCCAAATCCCTGCAGCCGTGGGGTGCCAGAGCTGCAGGAGCCACTCCAGGAGCTCCTTGCCAGAGCCTGACCCCAGCTGGGTGTGAGAGGGGCCGGGGGAGCCTCTGGAGAGCTCCTGGAGCCCCTCTGGGAGCTGAGGCCACGGCAGGGGCAGAGCAGAGCTGCAGGCTGACTCTGGGCTCCAAACACGGGAATTGCAGCTGGATGTGGCAGCTCATGGAGCTGCTGCCAGCTGTGGGGACAGCAGGACAGACAGACAGACACCCCCTGACAGACAGACACCCCCTGACAGACAGACACCCCCTGCTTCCCAACACAGGCACAGTACAGGGGACCTGTCTGCTCCAAAGGAGCTGGGTCCTGCTCCCAGATCTTGGATCCTCTTCTTGGATCCTGCTCCTAGAGCCTGGATCCTGCTCCCAGAGCCTGGATCCTCCTCCCAGATCCTGGATCCCGCTCCCAGAGCCTGGATCCTCCTCCCAGAGCCTGGATCCTGCTCCTTGAACCTGGATCCCGATCCCAGAGCCTGGATCCTGCTCCCAGAGCCTGGATCCTCCTCCCAGAGCCTGGATCCTGCTCCCAGATCCTGGATCCTGCTCCCAGATCCTGAATCCTGCTCCTTGAACCTGGATCCTGATCCCAGAGCCTGGATCCCACTCCCAGAGCCTGGATCCTGCTCCCAGAGCCTGGATCCTGCTCCTTGAACCTGGATCCTGCTCCTGGATCCTGCTCCCAGAGCCTGGATCCTCCTCCCAGAGCCTGGATCCCGCTCCCAGAGCCTGGATCCTCCTCCCAGAGCCTGGATCCTCCTCCCAGAGCCTGGATCCCGCTCCCAGATCCTGGATCCTGCTCCCAGATCCTGGATCCTGCTCCTGGATCCTTCTCCCAGAACCTGGATCCTGCTCCCAGAGCCTGGATCCTGCTCCTTGAACCTGGATCCTTCTCCCAGAAACTGGATCCTGCTCCCAGATCCTGGATCCTTCTCCTTGAGCCTGGATCCTGCTCCCAGATCCTGGATCCTGCTCCTGGATCCTGCTCCAGAGCCTGGGAGCTGCTCCCAGGGAAGGCTCCCAGCCCAGTGGCACCTTCAGCTCCAGCCCAGCCCTTCCTGCCCTGGGTGGCCTGGGCTGATCTCCAGCAGCTCAGCTCCAGAGGAGCAGCTGCTGCCACCAGGGTTGAAAGGGGAAAAGGGAATTTTCTGTCCTGGAATGCACCTAGAATTTGTGACACTTGGCTTTGGAGCTCAACAGGAATTTTGTCCTCGAGCATTGGGTGCTGCAGAGAGCCCAGAGGAGACTCCAGGATGAGCAGAGGGATGGAGCAGCTCTGCTGGCAGGAAAGGCTGGCACAGCTGGGATTGTTCACCTGCACAGGAGAAGC